GGCGCGCCTATGAAGTTTACAATGGCACAAAAATGAATTGTCGGGGATGGAAGTCGATCAAGTGTATGTGGGTGGCTCAGAAGCGATATCCGGGAGGTGCAAAACCTCGGCAGGCTGGGCCACGCTACACTGCGTGGTGATCAAAAAGAATGCCGTGTGAATGTGTTTAAACTTTGCGGAGCACCACCATCTTTTGTTCGCCGCCGCCTGGAGTTCAACTTGTCCAGAAACGCGCTTCACTTGGCGGGAGTGCTTTTCGGACTCATATGCGAGGTAGTTGTTCCCCATTTGTAGATGTCGCTGGATTTTCTGCTGCCCTCTTCGCCTCCAGATCTGCTGCCTCGTTCCCCGGTATGTCCAGATGAGCCGCTACCCACAATCCACTGTGTATCTCGCGCGATGTCACACTGATCACTGTGTATCTCAGCCCCCCTTGACACACATCCATTTCAGACACGACATACCACAATGGTACACATAAATTTCTCTTGTTCGTCTTCATTTCCACCCGAGCTAAACGTAGACACCTGTACTAGAGTATGCTATAGGTGAGTGGTAATATGTAGGTTTATGTAGTGCTCACCAAGCTATAAATAGACGATGGACCAGTTTCCGCCGTCACAACGTGCGATGACAGTACCACAAACACGACCCTTTCGACGTTCCCCACGTAGCGAGGCCCGATCAATGTAGAATTTCCAGTGATGCCGAACGTTTACATACACCATGTCGAGCTGGCTCTTATAAGTATCTAAGGCGGATGTACGAATTTCCTTTCGCAAGCTCGCTATGCTCCCACTCCTCAGGCATGTCAACCGCGTCGCTCGTGCATTCTTGTACACGTGGGGCGCGAGTGTTCACGTCCTCATGTTCGCTCTGTACCTCGGCTGGATCCCTTCCTCTCACCCCGTGCATGCCTACATCCGAATAGGACTGTCGGGGCTCGCTGGTGCTGGGTATATCATGTCTATGATCTGGCTCACCGTTGTCCTGGGATTCGTTATCTACTCAGTTGCGCAGAGGTTCACTTCCCCCGACGATCAGCCCTCGGAGGAAGCTAGCATGGAGGCATTTCAGGCTATTTCCCGCGGCCGTGTGCCGCTCTACCTCTGGTGCGCGTGTTTCGTCGCGATTGACGCGGTGGTGAATCGACCAGACGGTTCGCTTCTTCTCGACGGAGGTCTCAATCGGGCAAGGGAGATGATACCTATGTGTGTCGACGCTTATCTGGCGATGGCCTGTGGATTGGCCGTCCTCGTTTGGATCAGCCTTTGCGTCCATGGCAGCTGATCCTGGGGGTACGAGAGGAACAGACCCTGCGTCGCGGAAAGTTTGATGTCGATAATCATTTTTGGGGTTTAGTACGTTCCATTTTACGCGCTTTGTATCTCTGAACTCATTCCCTTATCCAGTACTGGCCTTATCTGCCGGTTGTTTACCCGCTGCACCGTCCCACCCTCATTACTCGCAGACCCTTACCCATTCAAAAGTGCTTCCCACATCGGCGTATAGAAGGCTACGTTCCTCCTTTGTGTCATTAGGTTACACACATCGGAAAGACTGATAACGTACAGCAGTATGAATGTACACGCTTTCGGCTCCCGAAGCTGATTGTTACTTGTATGTACAGAGTCAGATACTGAAGACATCAGGTAGCTTAGTAGCCAGCCGCCTGACGTGCCATGACTGGCTGATGGCCTTTTCTACCATCAGACGAGCTTGGGATGAGAATGAGGTCTGATCAAGATGGACCTCGTCCCTTCCAATAACATCTTTGGCCTAGGTATACGGTAGAATAGTTGCTCTGCTAAGCTCTCAGTCGCTGCGGAAATAGTGGGCACGTGATCGCGTCCTTCCTTGTCTTCCCACCATCATCTTTTTTTTGGGCGGTTATTCCTGCTAGTAGGCAACCGCTACTGCGCCAAATAAAGTGGGATGGGTACTGGGCTCCACACTAGTAAAATGGCGGCGACTAGGACCAGTCACAACCTCCCCAAGGCGTCCTTTCGTCGTTGGCGATTCAATAAATGGTACGTTCTTTGCCCAGCGCGATGATTTTGTGCATGCCCGGCCTCAAGGCTCATTTCCTTACAAGGCGCCTTAATTCAAATATTCGGGACCAAGATCCGGGAGAATGACAGGAAACATGACAGGAAGAAAACTCGGTGCGTGCTTTTGTTCGTCGATGGAGGTCCGTACCTCATTGTACTGATTTGTACATTGCAGGCGTGGTATAGCGACCATGTTTTCTGGCCTAAACGTTATGGATGCTCTGTCGGACTGCCTTATTTCCTGTGGCGCCAGGCTGCCTGACCGTCAAGAACTGCCATGACGATAGCTACGAATATCCTCGTCCTGGTTGATGTCTACAACTGCCAAGATTTCTTGTAATGGCTTTAATTTCCCCGCCCAAAGAACCGATACCAGTGGCCAGCTTTGGAGAAGCAATGAAAACAAATGCCGGGATTGTATATCAGGCTCCTGGTATGAATATTTCACGTCGCCGTCTTCCCATCCTTCTAACTCCTCCCTTAGCGTGAGCCTTTTCGAAAGCTGCATGTCCATCTGTGACGTTTTGAGACGACGGCGTTTAGCCTCGAGAGAGCGGTCCTGGGGAGACTCAGAGGCGACGGGTATGATACATTAACTTGCTACGCGTTAACGTTGACGTCTCGCCAGTTTGAGGACCTCCACTCTTTTTAAGCACGATGCACATGAATTATTCGGTCTCTGCTACGCACGGCCTACTTCCAACTTCTTCTCTACCATCACTCTGACGCCCTTCTCGAATACTGGCACCAGATAGTGCAGTCCTGGGCGCGCTGCCCACCATCAAAAGGAGATTATGCTGGAAGTCGTAATGGTTGGGATGAAGCAAACACTGGTACTTGTCACCATAAAACCACAAATGAGGCCTGGCGCTGTATCCTCACGGCCCAACTTTTCCGATGTTTCTATTGCATACACGCGAAGTTCTCAACGCCGGAACCACACATTCTCTACGTCGTTATCGCCACGCTCGACGATGGCAGCCAGTACGAGGTGCTAAAGCGGTACTGGCCGGTATGTTCCTCGCCCTCGTGATTATCGTTTCCAACGTTGACCATGAATTGCAGTTCGACGAGCTACATATGTCCCTGGACGATCCGTATCCGTTCCCGCCTAAGAAGAGCCTCGTACAGGTGGCGGTACCCTCAGCATGGGTCAACGACAAGCTCATTGTTAGTCGAAACGCCGGGCTGCTTGTTTACATTAACGCCCTGCTGAGCTCGCCGCGCTACCAAGAGTCGCACGCTCTTCCCATTCCACGGCGACGACGAGGTCGAAGCCGATGTCGGCAGTCAGCCTATCGCTCTGCTCGCCACCCATGTTGCTGGAGCGTACTACTCCGGCTGGGCTGCGGACAAGTACCCCCCAGCACGCCTCGATTTCAGCCAAGTTTGATATTGTTCTATACATTTGTGAGGCCAAACCTGTCCTCCACCACGGAGCCAGTCCATCGACCGCCTTGGCCTTCGGTTGGTTTGACGTCCCACATCGGTTTCTTGTAATGCCCACATGAGTTGAGGTATGTTACGTCGACATGATGCATAACGAGAACCAAACAATCGATTTCGACTCCATCGAGGTCATAGCTGTGTACAGCGTCGCCCTTTGCACTGCTCATTAAGGCCACCCCGTCCGCCTAGATATATGCGTCAAGAACGATTCTTATCGGATGTAGACAGGTCAAATACCAACAAAACAATCTTCGCGCCATGTTCACTCCTCTTCGCTCCACATCCCAAACTCTTAATAGTCGCCTGACTCCCCTCGTCCCAGCTAATCGATGAAGGCCGAATGCCCCCGTCGAAGATGCCTTTGGTGCTGGTGTTTATAGATATGCGTCAGAGAACTCGGCGACCAAGTTGCCGGGAAGTTCATGCCTGTAGACCATGCTGTTGTGACCGATCTGAGTCATTGGCGGGGGAAGCTCTCGTGGGCTGCTGCGGCGAAGAAGCAAGGAGGAGTGTGCGTTGGTGCGAACGTGTTGTCTAGAGGTCGGTGTACTTGTCTTCTTCCCAGGACAGATATCTAATCTGTTATAGGAAGGGATCAGTGCAGTGATGCGCTTGTGAGTGCATGTCCCTTCCTGGTTTAGTTCAACATTAATGCAAGCCTTTTGTAGTTCTGAACGGCGAGTACCAGGGTTTATTCTCCGCCGGAGTTTGGGATGGTGGGTTGTTTTACGTGTCTATTCTTCTTTAATTTACCAGTGAACTCGGCGCAGGCGCTTGGTCAACGACGAGCTCATCGCCAGCCGTCACGTCGGGTTGCTCGCATATATCAAAGCCTTGCTGCGCTCGGCGCGCTATCGAAAGGCGCACACGCTCCTTTATCATTTCTCAACGACGACGATGAACACATTACATCCGAAAACTGCAAGCCAATCTTGCCAGCCTCCCCCTATGTTGCTGGGGCGTACTATACCGACTGGACTACGAGCACGCATACTACAGCAAGCAGAGTGGTCAAGTCACGACGATTGTTCTGTCTATTGGTATTTCACGCGTTTTCACTCGGATATCTCAATCTCTAACGCATATATTTGGGCAGATGAGGAGGCAGTCGCCGCCACCTAGCGGTTTCACCGGAGCAAACTCGTTAACGCCTCGTTGGAGCCGGACACAACCAAGGACTCGATGGTGGCAATATCGACGGGGTAAACCTGCGTTGTGTTCTTCCTATACATTATATTGACCTGGCACTAGGAATACCTCAACTCGCGAGGCGCGGGAAACTTACACTTTCCTGCGGATTCAGGATCATGGTCGGGGCTGTAAGGGAGACGCCGGGGAGGGGTAGACTATTGAAGAAAGAGAGTTGCTCATATTGAGGAACCACGGCGGCGGCGCACGTCTCCACACCGACTCCCCTCAATTCCTCGATGTGAATCTTCACATACACTTTAAGCAGTCGTTCCTCCCGAGAGTTGAGCGTCAGACCTGAATCCATGATTATCGGATATGGTGTAACGGCTAACATTGCCGCCTCTCATGCGGGTGCAAACAATTGGGCGCGGCAGCTCGGGGTTCGATTCCCCGTATCCGAATTTTTTCTTGCTCTTGCTCTTGGCGCCTGGCGCCGCAACGTATACACCGGCGCCAGTCCCTGCATCTTGCACGAGCCCAACTAACCGCGCGTAGAAAGTGTGCACAAAGACCTCGTCAGTCCGCGTTGGGGCCGCCGCGTAGTCATCACAAAAAGTGTGCGCCGCATGCATGCGGTTGCATGAGCGGCAAAGGGATACACGGCTTTTTGCCGAATGTAAGTAGATTTTCATGAGCCCTTATAATACCCGACAATTCAATAAATGGGTCTGAATTCAAGGTATGGAATTGCACCGAATGTAAGTCCATTGTATGTACCTTTGTATAGACCCATGTATGTAGCTTTGTATATCCATATGTATGCAGCTTTGTATATATCTTGAATACAACTTACATGCAGCGTATCCCGCCCTTTGTTTGAGTTCCCGAGGCGGACGTCGCCTCGGTTCGCGGCTCATGGCTGCGCGCGACAAGCCCTTCCGCCAGGTAAGTGTGGAGTAGCCCGAAACGAAGATTGTACATTTCGACAAGGCGGCGCTTCACCTAAAGAGGCGAAGACCAATACCTTGTCCGAAAATCAACAAAATCTTCTCCTGCATAGCAATTTTGGACTTGATCCTCTGCCTCGCGTCAGAAAGCGGTATATCGCATGTAGCGCGGAAGCTGATGATAGTCTTATCGCACGCGGCCATGACAGTCACCGGCGCAGTAGGGGAGAGCGGCTTCCCATTGTCACCTCACGGACGAGACAGTACAAAGCGAGGCGCTAGAAAATGCGGAATAGTCGGACGAGGACGCCGTGGAAGAGATAGTCGACATCATGGGAGACGGCCAAGAGATGGCGGCATAATCGTGCGCGCAAACATGGGGACGTCGAGTGCGTCGTCCGTTTCATATCCGCCATACGCAGACGAGTCCTCGTCTTGGTCACCGGACATGACAAAGTCGGCCGAGTCCAGGGGACATGCCACTTGTCGGTCGGTAGTGCCCCATGGCACCGCGCGGGTGAGATTTGCCTGACGATCCAGTCCTGCTGGACATGGCAGAGTCGGGTCTTGGGACGTCTGATACAAAAGTATGAGATGAGGAGGAGAGCAGAGTAAGAAAAGAACATACCGCAGAAGTAGTAATTGTCCAAGCCTTCAATATCTGCTTCCGACAGAGCCTCTGACATGGTGCGGGTAGCCCGCCATCCATGGTTCGCCCAGCGCGCACGAGGAATCTCTTGAGGAAGTACAGCGTCTACGGAGCTATCGCACATGTCCGTCGCAACGCTGCTGAGAGATAGTCTTGAGGACGGCGGTGTAGTAGGCAGAGCAAAGTCCAAATCAGCATACGCCGATGCTCCAGACATATGTGATTGCCACGATGCCCAGTTGTTCCCTGTTGAAGTGAAGTCAGAATCGAAAATCGAGTGAAAATGTCGTCACGTATGTTCTAAGTCTAAAGCTTGCATGCTGTTGAGAAGCTCCGCTCCGATGCGCTCGACGACTAGTGACTGGTCCTCTGGTACGGCGCTCGAGAGGGACTCCCAAAAGGGTTATGGGATTGACCCTATATTGCTTCGTCCTCGGTAGTGCGCTCAAACCAGAAGGAGAAGCACGTTTGTAACCAAGTGGTGTAGGCTTGTCGACGGTCGTCGATGACACTGAATGGCTATTCAGAATTTCAGTATATACGAAGCAGCGCAAGATAAATGGGAAGCCTTACCCACCCAAGCAATACTATCGAGGTGGTAGGCCGTGAGCTCGTGAGCTCTGACCAAACCTCCCCGACATGGGTAGCGCGAGTTGTTGGTTCTCGGTTACAAGTTTGTTCAGTAGTCCGTGCACCTTCTTCAGTCATGTAAGCTCTGGTCTGCCTGCGTCGGCGTCTCCGAAAACACGTCTTTAAACTGCATTATGCAATGTTAGAGTGATTATAAGAATAGTATGGATTGCTGCCAAGTACCACGTCTTGGATGCTCGTGTCCTTCTCGGCATAAATCTGCATTATGATATCGCGTTTCCAAGTATCAAACGGAGAGATCCCAATGGCGCAAACGTTGCACTGGGTGAATGATCTGAAGTTTGAGGGTAAATTTTTAGTTAAAAAACTTAAAGATTTTTAAGCATTTTTTTGGTTAAATTTTTTAAAAAAAAGTTTAAACTTTTTTCAGCCTGTTTTGAGTGAAAAATGTCCTTAAAAACAGGGTGAAAAAAAATGTGAGAATCTTTAAATCTCAATTTGGAAGAATTTAAGTAATTTTAAACCCCAAAAAGATGTTAAAAACTTTAAAACGGACATTATGATAAATTTAACATCTTTTTAACTTGAAAACATACATAAAATTGCGTAAAATAAAGGTTAAAATTTCTAAAATGTAAATAAGGACATTTTAAGCAAATTGTTAATGATTTTTTTACTAGATATTATTGAAGGAATTCAAGCGAAAACTTATAAAAAGATTTTCAGAGTAGTTTAAGCCAAAAATTGCATTAAAACTTGTGAAAAACTTTAAAAGGAGCATTGAGAAATTTCTAAGGAGAATTTAAGATAATAACGGGTAGAAAACTAGAAGAAATATGGTAAGAAATATAACAAAAATGTGCTAAAAAACTAAATATAGTGTAGCGATTCACGCATATAAGCATATATTGCATCATAGTATCTCTTAGGCAAGCAGAAGGCATTCGAAAGCAAAAACTGTCATACACAGTAGAGACCTCAACGAGTCACCGAGTCACCGAGTCATCTGGTGACTCGACTCGCTTCGGGCACGTCGGCGTTCGCACTCGCGTGACTCGCGAGTCACATACTCGCGAGTCCAGTCGCGGGTCTGAGTATCCATCTGCAGACCACGAGTCATCACACGATGACTTGCAAATATTTAGGTATGTATTTTATCTTAATTTACAAATTTTTACCAACTCAAACGGACCCTTGCGTGGCTCAAACGAGCTATACGCAACAATTTCCCCAGATCCGGCGACTCGGGCCGAGTCCCGAAGCGACGCGTAAGCGTGCGATCGGGTGATATCTCTGTGTCTCTTACCATCACCACGACCACCTGGGGAGTGACGATTGTCGCTCCCGCTGCGCTGACGATTGTCAGCCAGCTGTAGGGTGTGTTTTTGGCCTCGGCTTTGTGCCGGGCCCGCTGCTGCTGGCTCTGCGCCAGTAGCAGAGCTGGAACACGACCCGTTGCTCGACTTCAAGTCGGCAACGACACTATCACCGCTCGACTTCAAGTCGGCGTCGACACGAGCGGCGCTCGACTTTGAGTCGGCGTCGATGGAGACGACTGTTAAGTCGTCTCCAGGATGCGTAAGCCCCGCAAACGGGCAGTACACGATTCAGTCACTGGATCGCGGCGCCGATGATGGATGAGGACGACGACGACGACGACACGATGATGATGATGATGTGATGAGGAGGGGGATGTGATGAGGAGGGGGATGTGATGCGATGAGGCGGATGATGCGAGATGGATGCGACGACGAGTCGTTCAGAGTCGACCACCACCACCACCATCCTCCACCACCACCTTCCTCCACCACCACTATCCTTCCACCACCACCACCACTGTCCTTCCACCATCACCCCCACCATACCCTCATGCCCAGCTGACTGTCCCCGTGCCATTGCCCGGGGATGCTCGCTGCGCATGAATGCTTGGGGGTATATGGACTCGCGAGTACTCGTGAGTATCCGAGATGACTCGGACTCATGGTGAGTACTCGCGAGTGGACCCGCGATGACTCACGAGTCATCGCGAGTCGAGTCCGACGCGAGTCTGAACTGGACTTCTTTTTATGTGAGTACTCGCGTCACGAGTCGCGAGTCTGACTCGCGTCGGACTCGTTGAGGTCTCTAATACACAGGTATATTAAGATAGGAGACAGTTTAAACAAGATAATCTCCATTTGTGTACTTGGCAGCAAATCTGCTCCCTATAACAGATACCAAGATTCATAAGATATTCTCTGCATGAGAGTACTGCTGAAATATCTGTGAACTCCAGAAGACGTGTCGAACAACCCGTGGATATCCATGAGATATCCAGAGCACTGCGCGGATATCCAAAACTAAGGCGGGGATATCCATGTGGATATCCGAGGCACTGCGGGGATATC